GTAATACTAACGCACAGTAGCCACACAGTTTACTTCTAATATCGTTACTTGTCTATTCGCATCTGATTAAACATTCCGTAGGCACTGACCTCACCCGAATGGGCCACTCAGGTATACGTTGCATACATACTCGTCATTTTTCTGTCCCCATGGTGCTATCACGCGGTTTGAACGTCAAAGTGTGGGTATTGTTGAACAGGTCAACAATTCTGTAGCTTCTCGTAGTCACAGCGTATGTATAACACTTAACCCCTGGCGATATGCGACCACTCAGCGCTCAATACCAACATGGAAGTTCCTCTATCCTATTACCATCCTGTGGAACCAGCTTACAACTACTGGAAGTCGAAATCCGACGTTTTAACTCGAAACTCGAGCCAAGTGGATTGGTCTCTGACGCAGGGTGTGCATCTGTTGAAACCACTTGATCAGTTATGAAACAGAGAGTAAACTTATTGTGTCGCTGATTGGTTCCGCTCAGTATCGGAAAGTCGGATCACTCATGCTGCATTGTTTCGACGAGGAGTGCGTTAACCTGACTCGGTGGCGACACAAGCTGTATGACAAATTCTTCCTTTCTGGTTCGGTCGACAACTACGTGGCGTATAAGAGACAGTAGAATGTTGCCGACATCGCGAAAACGTGCAGGCCCAGGCTTTGTGGAGAACAGGTTACGACTGCTGAGAAGATTGCTCCAAAGAATATGTTTGCTTTCATGAAGCGCTGTTTGAGGTCGACAGGTGGTCTAATAGTGCTACAGGGTTCGTAATGGACCACTAATAACCTCCAATACTTAGTGTGCCTCTACATTGTCAGCGCACTTCACGTTCGTGAATGCTCAGTTGTCTGTACCGAACTCTGTACTTTGGGATGGCTTGTTGAAGATACACGTCAAATACGCCTCAACCTTGACAACACCAAGCCTGACGTGTCTGACGGTCTCCACCTATTGCTTATCACGTGCTTATCGGCCATCATATTGCCTACGGTGAATTGTTCGAAAGGCGGAACGATTGAAGAAGTTCGATTGTAAAGCCTATTTCGGAAGATGGGGATCCTAATGAAGTTGATGACTATCAGCCGGTTCGTTTGACACGGGTGTTGGCCAAGGTAGCTGAGAAGATTGTGAATAGTCTGCTGCTGCTGTTCACGTCAAATGATCTGACGCCCTCGCCGCACGGTTTAATGGAACGCCGCAAACGCAACACTAGCCTGATTGGGGTAAAGGCGTGGATGTTTGCGAGCGATAAACTAAGAGGTCTGTCTATGTGGTCTACATAGATTTCAGCAAAGCATTCGACTCGGTGTACCTTGACGTCATCCTTCATGTGCTGAGCGTCTGCGGTGTTGGTGGACCACTGCACCGATGGATCCAAGAGTTTGTTCTTGAACGAAAGTGCAGGGTACAGGTCCATGACTATCGAACCCACTGGTATTCCTCTGCTGGTGGAGTACCCCAAGACACGGTGCTGGAACCCACTGTTTCTAATCTACATACAGAATCTGCTTCAGCTTCTTCGGCCGCCATTTGCTTTGTTTAAAGATGACCTGTACATTTGGAGTGATTAACACCCATACGACTGCATCTTATTTCAGCAACATCTCAGCCGTCTCTGTATGTGGTTTGCAGAGTTCCGCCTCCCAATAAACCCAAGCAAGTAGAGATTCATGGGCCTAGGGAAAGGCGGGGATGGCCGAACGTGTATCCTTAACAGGCAACTACTACAGCCCAGGCCTTCCGTGAAGGACCTAGGTGTAGTCTGACACTGTGACGAAGTCCGTGGATAACACGAATTGGCTTTATCGCAACTTATTGTGCATGCTATGGGCGATCAACCGCAGCTTTTGTACTTGGCCTGAAGTGGTAGCAAATCCCTTCTCTTCAACCATAAGATCAATACTAAAGTGCGGCTTGCCCGCGTAATGTCCACTCACCTGAGCCGAGACAGAGATGATCGAATGGGTCCAACACGTTGCTACCAGGCTCATTGCAAGTTTATGAGGACTAACATACGAAGACCGCTGTGAGAAACTAGGGCTCTACACACTGCGAGTCTAGCGCATCTTGATCTACCGTAAATAACGTCTCGGTGTCTTCCACATGTTGAGGCCACTGCTTCACTTACGAATGCCATGCACCACAAGCGGACACTGATACAAGCTTGCGGTGCCGGATATTAAGCAAGTTCCTGTGTTTGGAGCAGTCTGCCAGAACAAGTCGTGAATGCCAAATCTGTGCAACAGTTCGAAACTTTGTTGTGTTTACATTTCGCCACCATTCGACTCAGAAAACGATTGCCCACTAGCAATGACATCTTACATTTGTGAGTCGTGAAACCATAAGTCGAACATTTTAAAATGCTACATAAGGGAAGAAATTCACCATCTCGATCATGCCTACGTCCAGACAATTCTGGGGAATAATAATTGCCGTGAGATTTGGCGGATGATGAAACCATTTAGTAGAATTACTCGTCATTGTATGAACTCTGACATAGACGTGGAAGAATTAAACCGCAACTTCTGTTGCTCCAGCAGTGACTTATTCCCCAACTCGTCATCTGCACACATTCAGTGGCCTAGACTCATCGCTATTCGTTGATGTTGCAGCACTTCACATGAAGCTTACCCAGCTAAACTCAAGCAAATCAAGCGGAGCTGACCTGTTGTTTTCCTTCGTTCTTAAGGAGTGTGCAGATTCACTAGCCGAACCGCTGGCCAAGTTGTACACCGTGTGCCTACACCAAGGCAAGATCGCAGACTGTTGAAGAGCTGTTAGCATAACACCAATACCGAGGAAAACGACTGGTAAATATCGACTTATTGCGTGCATTTCGATGGTTTTAAAGGTCTTCGAGAAATTCATCCTTGAAAAATTGCTAACCCAATCCTGTCGGAATGACGCACATCAGTTTGCGTACCGAAGTTCGAGGTCGACACAAGACGCAGTGGCTTGTCTAGTGCACTCAGTGCTATCGTCGCTAGACAGTAAGAACAAAACCACACGTGTATGCTCCCTTGACTACACCGTCGCCTTCGGTTGTGTTAATCGTGAAATCTTGTTACAAGATTTCCTGGCTTCTGGTATCCAACCATCCATAGTCTTCTTGCTACAGGGTTATTTTGCCGAACGTACTCAGATAACCAGGTTCAACGGCAATAGCTCCTTACCTCTTTACTTCTGGTGTTCTCCAAGGAGCCATTTTGTCGCCATTCTTATTCTCTACCTACATTGACTCCATCCCTGTCCCTGTAGAAGCCATACTGCTAAAGTATGCCAATGTCGTACTAATCGGCGCGAATCATCTAACTTCAGCCTCTTCGACCATGCTACAATGTTGTTTGGATAAATCGTGCATTGGTCAAACCCTCATGGCTTAAAGCTGAGTGCTTCCAAGTGCAATGATCTACTGTTTTCGCTACAAAAGGCAGTTCGTTACCAACGACTCGTCGCTGACCATCCCCGACTTCACATCAATTGTGAAAGCCTGAGCTTCTCGACTTCAATGGATTATCTGGGAATCACACTGAGCCATGATTTATCGTGGTCAATTTATGTGAATGAAGTATTCACCATAGTCAGACGACTGTCCTTTTATGTCTCACCTCTTCGTTTGTCATCATTCTCCCACTGGTTGATCCTGCGATTTTTCATTAGATGTGTTCTATCACACGACCTACTGTTCTCCTATGATCTTTCCTGGCCTATTGGGTAAGTATTTCAGAATACTTCATAGGACACTGAAAAACAGTAGCATTTCTAAACCAACCTCAGGTTAACATATTTTATCTGTTTGTCTTAATTCATGCGCAAAACTTTCTCCGAAAATACTCACTAATATCATCCATCCTTTACATTGCGTTTTATCCAACTGCAAATCCAGTTCCTCAACGGGACGGAATTAAAGAGCCATATATGCCTGCACGCGGTCCAACGGCTCATCTGTCATACCTAATTCATCTAAATTTCTGCTTGATCCGAATATTATCCTTCAACAACTAAACAGCAAATTCTGTTAATGATCCTGTACTATACGTGAAACATTGTTTTAGCCACCGGTTTCTACTGTGTTCGCATGGATTATATTTTTCTCTTATCGTTCCGATCGCGCGTGTTACAGCTGAAAAATCACCCTTCATGGGCTCATAAAAGCGAATTCTCGACTTGACTTGAAGAACGCTTAGAGTTTAAACTGGTGGTCAACACTGTTTATCACCTTTTGATTATATTTAGATTAAGTTGTACAGATTTAAATATCTACTTGCTCCCACATTACAGTATTCAGTACTCACTGCTAGTGTACAGCTCGTCATTCTACTGTCCGACCATCCGACGAGAGACGCGGAATATTAGACAGGTTCCACAGCAAATCGTTACCAGGCTTATCCCCGATTTACGGGGTTTTTACGTAAGAGGGCTGGTGCGAAAGACTGGGACTAGGACTGTATGACCTTGCACATTACTTCTCTTTTGTGTGCAACGACGAATGTGTGAAAGCAGATGACGATAACACTCGAAATACCTGAATTCAGTTTATCCTGTGAAATTGTCATTTTTCTTGCTATTTCGAAACTTGTGAAGGGAAAACCCTACATGTAATCACGTTTGAAATGTTTAATGCCTAATATTGATTTCACAACAACCATACACATTGGTGTTTTTCAGTTCGGTTTAGTTCCCCAGTGCTGATCCGAAGTTTAAGCGCCAGGATTTCCTTTCGTTCACGGATTTCTTCTGACTGACTATTATAATAAATTCGATATGACTATCTTGGACCTATCCACCCGCCACCTTTGCTTGTACCGAGAAGTTGTATTATGACTATTGACTTTTGCTATTCATTCTGGTTACTTGTTCGCTGATTATCCTTACCATTATCCTCTTGCTGACATCAGTGAGTATGCCTCCGAAGTTGTTGAGTTACCGACTACCAAATGGTGCCTCTCATATTGCCCATTCATTGGTACCTCTTGTTATTTCTCTGCTGTTTACCCGCTAGGAGTCGCAGTTGTGCGTTGAAGGGAAGCTGCGTGCACAGTTGGAAGAAAAAGCCCAACAGTTATCAGCCGAAATCGACCTTCTTCGTGTCTCCACCGAAGAGACTTGGAAAACTCTCGAAGAGGTTTGTCTGTGTGTGTGTGTGTGTCAAAACTACATCCACTTTCATTGCACCTCCCTTCTGGAGCTCACTAGTCGTATCTGTCTGTGTTAGTGTTGTATGCACTAGTTCCTGTATTCCTCCTGCTTGAATTACTGCTGTACATACATTGCGCTTCTTCATCATTTCAGTTGATTCTAGTTTTCCACCGACTATCTTAATTGTGTACTAGTTGCGTGTAGATCTACTGTTCACTTTTTTCACCTTGGGCCATACGTTGCCTCATTTAGGAGGGGCGAATGTCTAAATCGGTCCACCACTCATTATCAGACATCGGTCGGTTCAAGTGGACTGGAAACAATTACGCCACGTAATTACAACCTGAGGTGCCAGTCTGAGGAGGAATTTGTCCTGCAAATTGCGTCGCCGCCGAGCCATTGTACCCTACTCCTTTCCGCTTAACTGGTCCGACTTTGCGACACTTAGTGGCACAAAATGAGAACACAGTGATGTCACAACAGTCATCCACAGAGGCAACATGCGACAGAGACCAATCTACTTGGTTCGCGGCTTGCGTTAGAATGTCGAAATAATTTTTTGACTAGTTGTAGGCTACCTCCAGCGGACGGGAATACTTTTAAACTTAGATCCATGCTGGCTGTGAGCACCGAGTGGTCGCTTGCTGCTAAGGGCCTCAAGATCTTAGCGTCATACACATTTTTTTCACAGCTAGTTAACATCAAGTCTAGTCTTGACGTAGTTGAGTGCGGCTTTGTACGTGTCGGTTGGCACATGTGTTGCGCTGCTCCACTGTCAAGTACCAGGTCCACGAACTTTGCCTCGACCTCACAATATGTGGGTCTGAGTTGAACCTCAGGCCAGCGTACTCGGAGGCATCTGAAATCACACATGAATAGGAAATGGGAACGACCCAGGTGACTTCGGAGATGCGGCAGCCAATGCAAAAAGCGGCTCAGGGGACTGCTTCAAACTGCACCCACGAGCAACTCCGTGTCTGAGGTGGATCGAGCACCACAGCCGCTCACACAGGACCGCCGCTTCTGTAGACACTCATAAATCTTCCACACAGAGATAACCGGATGTAGAGCAAGACGCGGACATTCGTAAATATATCGCAGCGGAAGCAAGTGTGGTCACTGAGCCACTGGACATTCACCTCAGTACTGAAACACGTCTCTGCGAGTCCTACGACTTCTGTACGTTTATAAAGCTATACGCAAGCCGCAGAAAGAACCCCCGGGCATGCTTGAAGTGAAATCTGTTTACCATACTTCGTGAAATCGTGTAAACGATCTTAAAATTTGCGATACAAGGTTTGTTTCCCATCACTGTTTCGTCTTTTCCGCATGTAAGAACCCTAATTACATGCCGTTATTCATAGCGGCAAACAGCATGAGGTAGATGCATCGGTACTGACCAACGAAACTTCCACTCATCTCTACGTACTTTCTGTCAGAAGTTGGATGGTGCGAACTGCTTCTGTGTGAGGTGTGCGTTTTTTATGTGTATTCCTCGCGCGCATACATCTGTGGTCCCGAAGTGTTCCTTTTCTTTCAGGGTCATACGTGCTTGCTGTTGGCTGGTTGCTACTTGGTTTCCTGACACTTCTATACTACTGACAACTGGCGCAACTGCGTCTACCTTTAGTCCACTCCAAACCCACTGATGACAAACTTGAGTCGTTCTCGATCCATCGGATCCAGGTATGTACGAGTATGAATCTTCAAACTCTTCTGTGGGACAAGATCATCCTCGGACTGGTTTCGTCCACAAAGGTGATTTCGATTGACCGACTATCACCTTTCTTTTTAAGTCGGATAATTTGCCTGAATTTCAACCCCTGCTCAACCACATCGATGGGCTCCTCATTTGGACCCTGTAAAAAGACGTCATGATCGTAGTGTATCTGTGGAGTTGAATCACTTAACAAGTGCGTGGAAGATCACGAGGTTAAAACGCCTCTGGTCGGTCAGCGTTGCTTTTGCAGAGCGAGGGTTTTCCTGAATTTCACTTGGCTTGACTACCGGGATATCTTTGCCCGTAGGATACAACCCAGGTAAAAGGCCTGTGTCAGGTGAAACGGCTGTCCGCAACGGGGGGGGAATTCGTGCCGGTGCGTTTGCATGAGACGAATAGAAGGCTTATTTGAAACCTGGAGCTTCGGGCAAGTTTTGGCCAAATACACTGAGCTTCTTGCAGTGGAATAATTCAACTTGCAAGATTGATTCTTTTCTACTTCCTCTGGCTGTATCCCACTTCTGCAATTCTTACGCAGAATTTGAACAAAATCATTTTGGACTTCACGAACACCGAAAGTGCTTAGTCGATTGTTCTTGTATGTTCTCATTGCTGAGAGGCACCATTAAATGAATTGTATATTCTCGTTTTCAGCGAGGTACGCCTGTGCTTACATGTTCAGGTAAATAAAAGCATTTCCCAGAGCAACCACCATGAATGATCAGAAAATATACAACATTAATGCAAACTGACTTGCAATTTTGGAAGAGCACAAAAATTGATTGTTGTTTTGTTCTAGTATTTGATGCTGCACAGGATGTCTTTATCAGGATTGGTAGATCCCTTAAGTATATGATTACGGAAGGTCTACAAAAATGATCTAGCATAATGGGAAAATGAGTTTAACACAAGTATATAGTGCGTACAATTTTTTAAACACATATGACGGCTATTTCACTCAAGACTGTTCCGTAATATCGGATGTTGGTTATGGCGCCCACATGATACTGGGGTAGTAGAGGTGTCTAGCGAAGGAAAATGCAAAAGTGGACTTCAGTAAAAGTAATTGGAACATCGACAATAAAGACGGAAAATGTAGAAGTGTAAAATCTTTCGGAATTCTGGTAGCCCGGGTCGATGATTTAGTTGTTCATTTGTTCTCCGAGTGCCCAGTGCGCTTTATTTGACTGGCGATCGTACGAAATGTGGCCTTATTTTTGTCTTTCGCATCACCGCATCTGAATCACCTAGCATTCGATAAGTCTTACTTCTGCTCTCCAGCCCTTTGACTAACAGCCAGAGACCACTCATGCAGGTTCAAGTTGAGGACAAGCGTATGTTGACCGCTTGAGTGGCTCAGCACACTGCGCTGTGAATTCAACTTTAATTATACAACAAGCGAGCCAAACTATTGGGACGGTTTCTTTTGCTCTTCATCAATTCTCGCGATACGGTGGCCTACTAATGTATGCTAAACGACTTATGAGTGATCTCCATCGCCTACACTCATCGCACCTGCGCTTTCTTCACATCTACACCGACCATTTACTTACACGTTAGGTCTTTGTGGACTTCGTGGTGGTCTAAATTTGACAGTAGGTAACATGGAAAAGTAGCATAGCTGTGTAACCTTGTCCATTGTTCTTGTAACTGTTGGCGTACTTCTCCCGTATTGCAGTCGTGAGGTTAACTGTACTAAGGTAATTTTAAGCACTAGCTTCATCTTTCTATTTCTCTATCGTCTTCACACTCCGTCTTTTTCCTCACTGATTATCCTTGATTGGCTTCTATTACTAATGTCAAACGCACTGAAACACGTCGACCCACAATTTTCTGTTGAAATCGTAGTCGGTCCACGGAATACCCTTCCATCTCATCATTTGATGCGCATTTGCGACCTATCTAACTTACTTCTCCTACCTTAACTGGATAACCGCTCCTCTAGAAACCCGTCACTGCTTATCGTAAGCGTTTTACACTCGTTTTCAACCTTGAACTTGTTTACGTCGACTGTTTATGGTTCTCTATTTTCCACCCCAATTCAGGTGGAGAAACGATTACTGGAACTCATCAATCAAAAAGACTACGACGTCTCTCGCCTGTTCATTTCCGAACCATCACGCCGGCGTCGTTCACTCGGTGCCTCATCCACTAACAACGGTTCCTCAGGCTTGGGCACTTCTGTCGGGAGTCTTGGTACCGTTGGTTCGGCGTCTTCCTCATCTTCTCCAATTGCAGCGCGTGGCGGTAGCCCAAACACTGCGGCAGAGGCGCCCGGCAGTCCTGTTGCACGATCACAGAGCACCAACAGCTCATTACCTGGCGCATCTGGGCCTTCCGATGATAACTCTGGTGCTTTATATCTTCGATTACGATCCGCCTATAGGGATGCACGCATTGAACAGGAGAGATTTTATCTTGACGTACGTTTAACATTATGATACTATTAATGTGTGTTTTCCCTTACACAGGATGCACTACCTTCAATATGCTTAAGTTTTAACAATTGTTTTTCAACCCATCTATCACATGTTCATAAGCAAACTGTTAGTAAATTTTAGGGGTCAATCTGATTTAAAATTTCCACCGCATTTATGTCGCTCTGTGCGATTGGATCACGTTTAATCCCGGAGGCGGGGTTGCTGTAGCACAGGCCAGTTCTGCTCGTCTACGAAAGATGTTTGTAAATGTTGGACACCCAGTGGGCGATCCGACGTTTTTAGAGTGTAGGCGACGACCGTTGCTTGTGACGGCCGATCGCGGACCATAATCACGATGTACTTCAGCGAGACCTGAACAGGGCGTATAAATGGTCACACCACAGGCTGCTTCACTTTACATCCTTTAAGTATTAGATAGTCCACATTCGTCACCAGTCGAACATCATATACAATCTTAAAGACCAGGTGCTGCAGGCAGCCACCCAGGGGCACGACCTTGGGGTATTGATTCGGGCTCATTTGGGATGCTCAGAACATTCCGAGAAGGCGTCAAGGACTGCAAACCAGCACGTGGGGATGCTGAGGAGAGCATTCGGGCGGTTTGGTCCCTCTGTTTGTTCGCGGTTGCTTAACGTATACGTGCGGCCTCACGTGTAATACACAATCCAGGCCTGGCGGCGCTGGTACAAGCATGATCTCGCAGCACTCTCGACTCCACAGTGAAGATCCACAACATACGTCAAAGGGGTGTTCCATCTTCCATGTCAACTTAGGCTGAGGACCCTAAGATTATACAGCGGTCGATATCGGCGCTTACGTGACTACCTCATAATGGTCCACCAGATCTTGAGAAACATCAACTACGTCTGCCGCAACCTACTGCAACTCAGTCACAGCACGAATTTGAGGGGCCACCAGTTCAAATTGACCACGCAAAACAGTCGGCTGCAATGTCGGCGAGACTTTTGCACTCTCTTCATGTTTGCCAGCCTTTGAACGCTCTCCCAAGTTGCATTGTTTTCACCCTCACTTTGTCTGTATTTAAAGCGCGTCTTGACACTGCCATGAGCCATCTACACTTGGAGATATAGCCGGTGTAAGTCGACAGAGGATATAATGTGACGAACGTTGCACAGCCTGCAATAACCTACACAATTGAGGTTGGCTCCTTACTCCATGCCTCTATGTGGACTCTATGACGAATCCACCAAAACGGTTTTCCCTTTATCACTTTGTTTTCTTCTTACCATATTGTCACTCTGGCCATTCTACGGAAGGTGTTAAGCATCGGCTTTTTTACCCGTAATATACCATTGTCCCATTGTGGACGCTAACCGGTCCGGGTTTTTATACCCTAGAAGTATGCACACAGAATAAGTTGCGGATGCAAAAAATAAACGCGAGGGCATAATTATACCATCTTGCTAGATCAGCATGTGATTTATCTTTGTTATACTCATAAACAAGAAATTGAAACAGAATCCGGATTCGGTTTTCTTTACCAACATCCAACTACGCATGACAACCCCCGAGTCGGTTCAGTCGAATGGGCTACTATCTATCTCGTGTGTGGATGAAGACTCAGTTCACTTTATCTTGCCACCTCTCATGACAGAATGAGAGCTCCCACGTTAGTACGATTGATTAAGGACGGATGCTAACGACTTGCTTAACTTAAGGTGTTGAAGTCGGTTTCTCTTTCGTCTTCGACTCCCATATGGCAAATGTGGGCATGGTCAAGTGAGAATGGAGTCGGTATCTGTTTCCTTATCCACTGTTTAGATCCACTAATTGATGCGATGTATATGTTACCCCCAGGTCTTTCACTCTTCCATGACGCATCACCTCATTCAGTTAACGCTAGTTTTCCCCAGATAGCCGGGGGTTTCAGTAAAGCCGAACGAATGTCAGTAGGCATGATCTGGACTCCACGACGCTAAGTCAATGGTTAACCATTCGGCAAATTCTAGTACCGTTATGACGAGCATAAATCACGACAAGTATGCTGATGCCATAGGCAGACGCAACTTGTCCTTCGGCATTGTTACAATCGCTGCTTTTGTAGATATGAGAGGCAGCGTCCGACAGTCTCGTAATTTAACGGGCCCCTCGGTATCTGACACCGTTTCCGTCAAAAGCTACTTTCATCGACTTCTTCAAGTAGTGTTGCGATTACTCCTTATCTTTGTTGGTATGATCTTCGTTTTCTTCTATCGCTTTCTGACCCCGTTCCTTAGGGTCAAGCGCTTTCGGATGCGTATCCGGCGAATCTTACTCGTTATTTGTCCATCCTTCACAGGTTTGTTAATGCTTTGTGATCACCAGCCGCATTTTGTCCGTAGGTTGTGTGTTGAGTGACTCAATGCCGTCCACATTTCGCTCCAAATTCCCACTGCACTGTGTTACGAGTGAGCAACACTACATGTATATATTCTAGGCAAACTCGCAATGACCGAAATGGCCAAAATTCACTTCTATGGGAATCACGCTTCACACTGAGATTGCAGGTCGCAATCCATTCGCACAACGAGCGCCCCACAATTAAGCTGAACTCATATTCTGATGTGTTTACTAGTTGTGGTCGTGTACACGGACGCAGGACGCTTGTGGTGTAAGTCGATAGCTTGAGCCATCAGCTTCGATTTATCCGTCGATATTCACGTTGAGCAAATTTTTTCCTGGAGCGTGCACCTATTGTCTTTCAGGTCGATTTCGTTGGGGTAGGCCACGTCAGGCGTTGACAAGTCCATCGGACGCAGCCACGAAAACATTGCTTCTGTTGAGTCCTCTGCACCGCTTTTATTCCCTACAAGTGGCGCTTCTTTGTCAGTTCCCTTCAGATTGACTTTCCATCTTCTGTTAATTTCTTGATGGTCCAAACCGCACTGGTCCGTCACACTTCCGCACTGATTCGACTGAATCGAATTAGAAGCAGGTCTCGACGCAATCGTTTTGCGCATAACGTACCTGAAACATGGTACCAATGGATTCCAAACTCCTACCGCAGTTATCCTATACATCGCCACTTTGGATTACCAAATGCAACGCTCATTGGTCGCCGTAGCGCTGTCAGTTCTCATGCGATTCATTTGTACCTGGTTGTACGTTCCGGGCGCGAACGAAATCAACCGCGTAGGGTCCATTTAACTCAGGGCTAATTGGGCCCATGCGTCATTCGCTCTCCTCTCTGGAGTATAAATTCTCCAACTTCTCACATCACACTCCATGGCGTTGTCATTTACTGCTCGTTTAGTGCACGTACAGGTTGAAACCCGTATTTATCGGATTTGTGTGTTTTAACATGCTTTGTTAGTTTTCACTCTGTGGTGGGAGCTACTGACCATTCACTAAGCGTCCTGTATTTGCAGCTATCCTGTAACCGTTAGTATGCGCAGTGACACACACACACATATATATATATATAAATATATATAAATATATATATATATATATTGCTGGTGAACGCGAACAATACTCACATTAACTTCAAGAGTCATAGATGGTGGCCACGACAAAGTTTTGAAGCGGTGCTCCATCCTTGCTCTCTCTTATCGTGACCTTCGTTTTTACCACTGTACTTTTCAGATCATTAATACTTTATCCGCTGTAGTGAAAAACAACCGCTTTGTCGGCCTAGTATCTTGTTGACACTCGTGTTTCCTTTGTCCATACGTTTGGCGAATCGCTCACTTTTATCCTGTTACCTACTCGACCGTTCTTTTTGCGTCACTTTTTCAACTCACCCGTTTGTTTATCTTCTGCCAGTGTTTTTTAATTGCTTTGAAGTTCCTATCTGAAGACTAACAGCTCTCTTGCGAATTGCTTAAGGAAACTGTTCCTTCTTCGTGACTTTTTCAACAGTTAAGCGAAAATTGTTCATTTCCAGCGATTTGCACATTACACGGAAGAGATGCACAAGTGTCAGGTGCTCCAAGTTCAGTTGTCCGAAATTCGCCGTGCGCTTGCCGCCGATCCGCTCCATTCCCAAAACATATCTCCCACTCCTATTGCCGGTGCGTTGCGTTACGGTAGGCAGGTTTTGCCTGTCAACACATCTGCCTGTTCAATGTCAAGTTCTCCGTTTACGCTGGACGATGCTACATATTCACCTCCTCCACCACCTCCTGCTCCTGAGCAACGCAGGACCACCAATCTGACTAGGAGCAAAGTCATTCTGACGGGAAATCCTGTAGACTCGCGGTCATCAACTCACAACATTGACTTGCGCACTACTGCGTCCCATCCCACAACGCTTGTCCACAAGCCACCGACCACTCGTCGCGTTTTGCGTGTACCCAACGTAGGGAAACCAAAGCTGTTTGGTGGGACCATTGACGAATATGTTGAGGCAACAAATCAGCCCATCCCCTGTATCCTCCTTTCGTGCACACGTGTCATAGTTAAATTCGGTGAGTTCCTTACTTTAATGTCTTTCTCATTGTGCCCTTGAGTTTTGCATATTGGAGCAGTATATATCGCGTCTGGTACCCCAACGGCAGGTGCAAATACCTATTAGTTCCCTTTTACTGGCCATCTGGTGCTGCAGCACGTGCAATCGTATTGCCTCATCAGCAGTGTGATCATGTAGGTCCCATGGCAAAGTGCGGACCGGTTAGTTTTATCTTCATGAACATAACGCAGCGGCAAAGCACTTCTACTTTCATGTGCTAATGCACACAATTATTGTAGCTTATTCCGTGGTGGAAGGCGTGCTATCCCATGCTTGATGTTAATTTCCTACCAGTTCATCAAGTCTGCATTTTTCGCCGACGTGGACATCGGTTTATATACCGGTCACTCAGCAAAAGAGACTCCGTCCGCATCGGTCTCACGTATATTGTTAGGCTATATTCATTAGGAAGATTCCGTTTTCGTGCATGTACACAGTGCTTTGGATAACATTGCTTCAGTCAAACATTACAGAAGACTTGCATGAGCTTATTCAAACGTTGTCAACCAATCATCGGCGACACACGAATAGCCATTAGCTGTATAGTCCGTTCGGTTCGCTTTCGTTGTAACACATATTGGCTACCTTATCATGTTTTCATAATCCCAAGATGTCGTTTCTACGTTATTTGTTTGGTTGCGCTTCTCATCCATCTGCTGCATCTACCCTTTTATTTGCGTCCGAGACAATTCCGGTGGCAATTTTTTGCCATAAAACATTGCCATCCCCATCACGCAGGCTGCTGTTTGATGAGCATAACCAGTTACAAGTTGGGCAACCCCGTTGAGTTCGTGAGATCATCATCTGTCCATCGAGCTTCTTCACTTTGATTTGTTGCTTGGACGCGCACATCTTCGACCTGCATCCATCTTGGGTTTTCGCACCACAGTTACTGTGGTTTCTGCTTCTGCCCTGAGAACTGACGCCATCACCAAGTGTGTTATTGCCCTCGGTACCTGCGTTTCTTGCCCAGTTCAATTACACTTCTGCTTTCCATTGCTTATCCGGGAACTGCTTCATAGGTCACTTTCGGGGACCTTTTCTCCCGCAATCTTTCTCCATCACACTCTGGGCTGAACTTGTTCACTTGGTTTTAATTACGTACACCAGGAGACCGAAAGCTATCTGAGCTCATTTTGTCGCGTTTCATCAACCTATACATCCCGGGTTACTTTTCCTTCTCGACCCGAACAACCAAGTGCTCGGGTTGGAGTCGTATCATCATGTGTCACTATGGCAGCAATGGTAGATCGAGAAAATAAGAATAAACGGAATTCCTTATTCACCGAAATTGGAAAAGCACTGAAACAGCCACTAAGTTACCGGGCTCGGAAAAGGTAAGAGTGATAGCACTAGCAAAATGAACATCTTGACCACTTCGGAGTCTGATATTCCCATCACACGATGTTCAACTTGCGCTGGTGAGAGTCGGTCGTTTACTTGATGCCCGAAAGTTTGGCCGACGGTAATGCGTCGACTGTGACCGGACCAACACCTATGCCCTTCAGTTTGGATAATTCAGCTAATTCATCATCGTCACTCCCAATCAGCAGGCTTAGGCTAGTCTCGAATGACACCACACGCGGACGTTTCGACCTTCTGGGTCTCGTCAATGGTGCACCTCCCAGCGAACCCCTGCTGGCTTCCGCCCCCATGACTTCAGGATACCAGCAGCTAGTGCCACTTCGTCATGAGTGACTGCAATGAACCTGCGTGATTGACAGTTGAGTATGATATAGCCCGGCTCATCCACTTCCATACCAGTTGCGAACTGTGCAGAGGACAGTGGCTAGCCTCACGAGCTAGGACTTTCCGCATAGCGCCCATGTACGACATAAAATTAGAAACTATAAGGACATATTTTATATTACTGATGAGTAGTAGTGAGAATTTTGGTATAATCCAGCTAATTTATTATCGTTACTCCCAATCAGCAGGCTTAGACTAGTCTGGAAAAGCACCAGACGCCGGCGTTTCGACCTTCTGGGTCTCTTCAGTGTTGCGGCTCCCAGCGGACCCCTGCTGGCTTCCGCCCCCATGACTTCAGGTTGCCAGAAGCTAGTGTCACTTTGCCATGGGTGACAGCCGCGGACCTACGTGGTTAACACTTGACTATGATATAGCTCGGCTCATCTTTCATTACCATGCTAGTTACAAACTGTGCAGACGACAGTGGCTAGCCTCACGCTATGCGGAAAGTCCTAACTCGTGAGGCTAGCCACTGTCCTCTGCACAGTTCGTAAGTGACATGGCACTGGAAGATGAGCCGGGCTATATCATGGTCAACTGTCAATCATGCAGGTCCGTGGCTATTACCCATGGTGAAGTGGCACTAGCTGCTGGCATACGTGGGGCGGAACCCGGCAGAAGTCCGCTCGGAGGCGCACCACTGATGCGACCCAGAAGATCGAAAGGCCGGTGTCTGATACTTTCCCGGACTATCCTAAGCCTGCTGATTGGGAGTGACGCTGATGAGTTAACTGAATTATACCAAAATCCCCACTAATACTCATCGGTCAATTTGGATAACCTTTGCGGTGCATAGCAAGGCAGAGTTAAAGCATCGATATCTGTTTCTGTTCTGACAGCCTACAGGCCGTCATCATGCGCTCGAGTAGTTCGGTTGTCTGGCTTGTAGTACAAACTTACTGGCTGGGTCTGGCACAGGTGCTAGCGACCTCGTAGTGCCCCTAGTCCGTACGCGACCGATGGTGGTAGCGGGGGGCACCGAAGCACTCATACAAGGCACTTGTGTACTGCTTATGTTTTTTCACGGTATCCGTGTCAACTAGTAGTATAACCAATCTGCATCAACTCCGAAACAGGCTTGCCGACACCATTTCGTCACTGACCCGTAATCCCTTTAGTCTCCTGATCCGTCCGCACATGTAACAATATGCATATGTTTGGCCATTTGAATTTTGATGTCAGCTACCTATAGAACTCGTTTTTGACAAATTCATGACTCCCCTTGCTTGCATCACGACGTCAAAGAGAGATCACACTGCATGTCTCGTTTATTGGTTTCATTCCCATTTCACCTTCGGAGAGCGCATTTACAGCGGGGTGCACGCCCTCTGTGTTCAACACCGCACTGATCCTGTGAATACATGTGGCGAATAATACATTATACGGTGTGCGAGTTCTTGAACTCCGAACCCAGTTACTATAACTGTGCTGTTATTTTGCGTTCACATACGAAAAGGTGCATGGGGAGCACGGGTTTTTTTGTTGACTGGTCTAACATGATGTTTGAACGTTTAAAGCTCTAAGCTGCTAATAACTCTCCAGCGTTAACAGGAGCTTTACTCAGCTTATCAGGAGCGGTCTCTTTTTATCCTCGTTTGGGAGGATGTGATTTACAGTGAATACAATTTGTGGAGCATATGGATATACCGTCGCAAGCCAACTTTTGTAAGCCGCTAACGCCCCTTGACCGCCCATGATAAGAGGAATAATTTCTCTTGTAGTCCTCTCCTAACTTTTTGCTCATATGTTTGTCCTTCAAACCGGAGAGGTTAACGAGTTTTTACTAAGTGGTTCCCATCCGTTTTCTTCCTCTCTGTAACCCGATCTACAAGTTGTTGCGAATGATGCTCTTCTTATGGCTATACATGCACTGGCCTTTCTCTTTCGACTCAGTAGGTTTGGGACAACTTTTGTATGCTCTTGCAGTCCGCTTGCTGATGTATCTGCGGCCACGACCAACCTAAGGAACGTTTTGTCTTGCTCCAATATCCTTAGCTTTGAATCTACCTGATGTGAGCAAAAGCATCACAAGCAACCACGTCAGTCGAACTGCGTGTTTAATTCTTACATTGTTGTCACCGACTACCGGCGAAAAGAAACCTTTGTTTTTTCCAGCTCCCACTGAGCTTGTGTAGTTGCGTTTTCGCCGCTCCCAATCACTGATTGGGCTCGTGTAAATGATTCCAAGGTGTGTTAAGAGCATACAGTTCAGCACTCCTCGGCGACTCAACCGAGCACACCCCATTCACCACATCGCATTATTGGTCGGTCGCGTTACAATAGTATCCTTGTTGACCAAAACTTCTTAAAACCCTTCATCACCGCGTATGGTGCAAAGACCGACGAACTTTTTGATTGGTTTCTCCCCTCAATTTGTACTACTTCGGTGTGCTTGGTCTTTCTGATAACAGCATAACTGCATTGAACTGAACCGCATACGAATATTGCGTAACTAACCCAATTACTACTAATTCTTTAGGCTTTCCGGAGCTTACTGTGTATTACTTCAATGTTCTTAGGGTATACCTGTCAATGTTTTCTTATGCGTTCCCCTTCTACGCTTGATTACGCAGGTCTCTATGAGTATTTTAGCCTATCAGGCTCATAAAAGTCTAGCATCTAAACTCCATCTCCTCCTCTTCTTTTGTTAGTCTGATCTCGCTCACGCTCGTACTTACACGTCACTGCGCATGTAGTATACCATTGTGGCATTATCTTAACCATTGTTCAGGAATGCAACAACAAGGGATATTCCGCGTCTCTGGCAGTCAGACGGAGATTAACGATTTCAAGGTTGCATTCGAACACGACGAAGATCCATTGACAGATGTGTGCGATGCGAGAGACATCAACTCCACAGCCGGGCTTTTGAAACTCTATTTCCGCGAACTGGGCGAACCACCCTTTCCCAACTCCATATTCCTTAGTCTCATTAGTTGTGCACGGGAAAGTGAGTACCGTATTCGTGTTTTGATGTGCTTATTTTAACGATGAGTACTTCTTCGTGGACTGTCCGACGACCATCTGCTACTCAACACCCTCGTTTGCATATCGGTCTCTCGTTATGGACCTTCTGTCACAGCAATCAACAGCTTTTTTATGTGTCCTAGTTACTAACTACGGAAACTCTATTCCTCTTTTGCATTCTTTGCTTGTAGTGGAAAGGCATGACTCAGCCAGACTTTTCCTCTCAGTCACTGCGTTTTTATGTCCACAACCTTGTTGTCGTGCCTGTTGAAGCACGGGAAGACAACAAGAGAACCTATAGGTTGGTTGACATTTGGTGGTAGGCCAATTGGCGTACTGCAGGGTGTGCTTGAAGTATCCTTTGTGATGTATGTTTTTTTGCATTTCTTTCGCTTTATTCGTGAACTGCGCCTTGAAGAAACCATGGGAGCATATACCATTGTTTTTAGCGCTTATATCGGTTCACATGTGAACTAGTTGCCTGTTTTGCGCTCCTACCTCTTTGGGCCTCCACCGATTGCCTTTCTTCATCCGCCCTTTGTAATCGATCGTACCATACAGCTGGTTGAACGCTAGGTTGTTTCATCCGAAGAAGCACGGGATTTTCATCCACTCCAATGCACTTTTATTGTTGGTTCATTTGATACGCAAATTGTCTGAATTCTAACTAACTAAATATTATGTTGTCGACATAGCGAGACACGCCTGAACAGGCACGATTATAACAATACAATCACGAATTATTGGCAAAGGTGCAATAATGTTGCAAGGTTAGCACTACCATATTGCACCTGTGTTATGTATATGTGAATGTTTGCAGTTGTGTTGCTTGAATTTGTAGACGTGAAGCCGTGGTTGTGATTGTGTTCTGTTGAGCCGTCTGCTTGAAAAGGGTTGAAAGAGAAACTTTGTACTGGATGGCTGGTGTCCGTGGGGTGCCTTTATTTATTGGCGAGTCACCCGCCACATCGCAGTGTTGTTAACAGACATTTATCGTTTTTTATAGGGAGATCGCTTGCCAGGCAGAAACACACCACCTCCTGAAACACTTCGGCGGAACCATTCGCTGGATCAGTATTAACCCGAACCACCTAGCCGACACCACGGAAAGGTTGTTCGGCTGCAGTTTACTACAAATTGAGTTCCGGCGAGTTCAATCACTGTAACCGCAAATGACGTCTTGTGGTGCATTATTGACAGTGAACAGTGCCTAAATATTGCTTACTTTAAGTGCAGTCCCATTTTCGCTATGACCGAGCTCCTACTTAAGATTGGGTGTCGCAATCCATCCACACTGATACCTCAATTTGCCAAAGATTGAGTCCATCACCATTGTGAAATGTGTTAACCGAAGTTCACTGATGAAGGCACCAAGTTCCCATCTGATGATCTGTGCGTCCCTGGCTCGACGCGCATTTCTGCTTTCTCAGCCTGAAGAATGCAACTAAACAGGAATCCAGTCGTGTAAAATGCACTGTTACGTATGAGCGAACAATACCTACTATTTCTCTGATTCAGCTACAGATCCAGTGAACAAACTAATCGAGACGTACTGAGATTGTGTCTCGCCATCCATCCATACAATGGTCAGTAACTGTCCGGAATGGAACGAAACTTCCCGGACCTGCCTCTCGAAGCTGGGTACCACCACAAATTTGTGCGACCGCCCGATTCAAAGACAGTTTTCAAGTTAAGAAGGCTTACCACGCCAAGCTGTTTGTTAGTGTAATGATTTTCAGGGCATTAGCAAGCAGTAATTGCTTGTCCAGTGTGCCCTCTACCAGGGCGGAATCCAACTTGATTCGCTGCTTTAACTCTCGGGACTCATTGAGTCGCCGCAGCGCCAGAGTATCTGTCCCAGTCTGAGGAACTTGAGATCGGGTCGATATCTCGACGTCTTTCACAAGCCTTTTTTGGCTCTTCTTAAAGACTGGAATGGCAGTCGAAAGCCGCTTTTCGGAATTTACTTTTTCTAGTTCTTGTCGGACAGAGCAGTCATTTCGGGCACTAGTGAGTCACCACCCTTTTTCATCGACGATGGCGTAACGTTCTTAAATCCATGCACTTTATTCCACTTTAGCTACCGTTGAGTCCGCAAGAATTACGGTTTTTGAGTCCACTTACGAACTCGATTCAGGTGAATTAACTATTGCTTATGGCATTCCAGGCCACTAGAATTGTTCTTTAGAATATCTCACCCTAAGTTTCTAACTAATTTGGCTGAGATTTAATTGGCTACCCATTTTCTCAGCTGTTGTCGCACCCACAGGAGACTTTGAACCCAAGCGTCGAATGAGTCAGAATAGCCAGTGTTCTCTGCCACAATTGGGTTTTACATCACGAAACATCCACAAGAGCTTGTCCTTCGAATTTACAAATAACTGGAGGAAGTCTATTTGCTCCTACAGCCTTATTCGATTTCACCAGTTTGATCCCTAGTTGAAATTATGTTATTGGGAGCGGATGCAAGCTAGCCGCCTAGGGAGAGGGGTGGTCATTCGTCATTAAGGAAGATGACAACTCCGGTTAGTTAACGACTTTTCAAATTGTTCGGCCCAACGCCGCTAGCGTTTTGATAAGCTATAGGTAGACTGTACACTCTCGTCACGTGTAGTTTCACTAACGTCAGGTCTCCTACTGCCCGTTTCCTGTATCAGATGAAATAACTTACGATGGTTACCAACGTCAGCGGCTGTTTCCGTCACCGACGTACGGAGGGACCACCAGAATTTGTATTCTCTGTTCAGGCGAGGTCTTTGCGAGTCTCGTTTTCAGCGCTTCCAACCGGATGTGTTGGCGATCATCTAGAAGTTCCCGATGTCCAGGTGTTCAGTCAGATTTACTACTTGAAGACATGCCTGTTGAAAGTAGCGTCTGGCGAATATGCGACCCGTGATCTTCAACGGTGTTCATTTGGCGCTTACCTTGCCCGGATGCCAGCATACTTTGCTACGCATTCAGTACATCTGACTTCATTAGTTTACTGGTGTCAATACGTTCACAATGTCGCTGCGTACGTTCACTGAAACGCACCTGCAGGTCGGCGCAAACCAGTACGTGGTCGGAGTCTACGCTTTTCTCCAAATCGAAAGACAGTTTTGTACCCAACCTCTCTCGTCGGCCCTTAACCGACGGGATCGCAAGCCTGTCTTATGAGTTGGAGGTGACGGTTTCGAGGTTGCGGATAGGACTATGCGACCATCACACGCGTGACTGGTGTGGCTACCTGGCAGCGAAGCACCAGTACACAGTACTGACGTACTGCTCATGCCCCAGTGGTAACTGATCGCGATCTGATCGGTTTGCGTCCATGGTTGGTCCGACGTTAGTAGTGGACACCATGTTACGCTTCAGCGGGTGCCATATCGAAAGTTATTGCTTGCGAGCATCTTCACGCAGGTGTAACCAATGATCACCATTATCACCACGCGAGCCTATACCGTATTGGGTGCACAGATGCGGTTCAGCAGTGGACAGATTTCTAACTTGGGTGTTCCGATCAACAAGCACCACAATATCCGTACTTTATCTGTAACGAATGAACTCGTTCATTTCATGTTGGAAGTTATCTTTCACCGAGTCCGTGCTACAGTTTGTGGGCGCGTAGGCAACTATGACAAACATCGCAGCTTTGAGCACGCCAGCCAATCTGACGGCACATATCCGGCTGTTGACTGGTATCCAATCGATGATAACAGCCTCAGCTCGGGAGCTAAGAGCAATGCCCACACCGGCCTGGCCGACATCTGAAGTTGTGCCATCTGCGGACAAGCGCAATGCGAGAGGGCCGCCAGTGTCGCATGTAGGGATCGCAGGGTACTCACAGTACTGAAATCTTGCAGGCGCGTTTCCGACAAGCAGCAAATATCGATCGATAGGGCCTCTAGTGTTCGGGCAATTGCTGCCTGTTGGTCAGCCTGTAACAAAGTGCGCACGTTGAGGTATGATTGTTATAGCGGGGCTTGAAGATCATTGTCCGCTTGGTTGAACATGTGCGTGTCCACTAGACCGCAGCGACGACCTGCGATCGTGTGTGAGTTGAAACTAGAAGAGAAATGACTATTGAAGTAAGATGGGAAGGACCGAGAATCAGTGGGTTTAAAGGTGGTGGGACTGTAGTGAAGTTAGAGGAAGACGATAAGCATGCAAAAATGCGTGTGTTCGACTAAAGGAAGACATGAGCAGCAGTATCCCAACCTTTATCCAGCCTGTTCGATGGAGTAGATAGGGCGCCGTTGATTATCTTGTGCGACGACCAGAGCATTAAGAAACTTTCCCGATACGGTCCATGTATAGTGTGGGCAGGTGCTGTCAGGTTGCCGAGGCCTAGACAGGAGAACGATTAGGGTTTTTAACTAAAACCTTGGGTACAAAATCTGAGTGTGATACGGTGGCTTTTTGGCACTGAGCTAAAGGGAGTCCGTTTTATGGAGTAAGCAGCCACCCTAACTTCAACCTCCAGCCTGGAAGGCCAAGAGACTGAGCTGGTCTGGCCCGTACCGCTGATCAATATGGTATGAGTGGCTCTACAGATAGGACCACCCAGTATTGCTCAATGGATCGTTTAGGCACACAAGCCATCGCATCACGTTTAGGTCCAATCTTGTTCCGACGGCTTTCAGCGATCTGTTAATCCCAGCTTATCGACTGTGGTCCATTCTCCTTGGTGCGGTTGATCCAGTTACCTTGAAGCACGTCGTCAAAACAAACATAACTGGCAATGGTGATGTTAATATAGAGTGAATGCGCAAGGATCTAACTCATCAGAGGGAAAAGTCGAAAGCCCCAAAGTGAGTAGGCGATTGCAAGATTGCCACTAACTTCGCCACTGCGGTTTATCCCATTGAGTTGTTCAGCGACTGATCCAGGTAGTCCAGATGACGCTGTTCGGGAAAATGACAAGTGCCAACTCGCGCGCGTCTTTCGATGCGGTTCTTCATACACTTTTGCTGTCATCGAGTTGCGCATTATTGATCAACAATA